TTTTGCCAGGGCTCCATACAGATTATGAAAATGTATCTTTACAGGGTTCAAAGCCCTGAACGCCATAACACTAAAGCCCTAGAACCCCAAACCCTAAGCCCAAAACCCTAAACCTTAAACCCTAAACCCTGAACCTTATAACCCTAAACCCAAAACCCTAAAGCCTGAACCCTATAGCCTAAACCCAAAATCCGGAGTTGAGGCCAGTGCCGTTCCCATGTTGCACATAGAAGCACTCAAGCAGAGCCTAGGCTCCCCCCACCTCCCCGTTTAGTGTTTAGGTTTCGGATTTAGAGTTTAGGGTTTGGGGGTTTAAGGTTTAGTATGTAGGTTTGGGGGTTTAGGGTTTCGGTTTAGGATTTAGGTTTGGGGGTTTAGGGTTTAGGATTTAGAGTTTAGGGTTTAAGGGATCAAGGTTTAGGGCTCAGAGGCTTCCCGAAGTTGAGGTCGTTTTAGGGACAATTGCCTTAAGCCCTATAGAACTGACCTTTCATCCCTAAGCCCTTACAACCCTAAATCCTAGACCCGAAGCCCTTAGAACCCTAAATCCTAAACCCTTAAAATACTAAATCCTAAACCCTAAAAATACTAAATCCTAAACTTTAAACCCTAAATCCTAAACCCTTAAAATACTAAATCCTAAACCCTAATCCTAAACCCTTAAGATACTAAATCCTAAACTTTAAACCCTAAATCTTAAACCCTAATAATCCCAACTTTGGGCTCATTCCTGTGGCGTGTGGACGCATGTTCTCTTTGCAGTGGTCTCGTGGAGATGCTTCGCTTCTGAGGCTCATTGGCTTTCAAGCCACAGCATGTGAAGATACCCAAAAGGATCTAAAAATTAGATCCCCTAGAACCATAGGGGGAATTATATAAGGATTATATAGGGGTTATAATGGGTCTTTATAGGGGATCCCAGGGGTCTGGGATGTGAAGATACAGCAGCAGCCTAAACAGTTCCCAACGGTTCTAGATCGGGTACCTCAAATATTCGTTTCAGTGAGATTGGGTTAGTCTCTATTCAGACCCGTACAGTATAACCGTCACGGATTCATGTCCTGGGTTTCTTAGACTTACAGAAATCAATTGCGGGTAGATAGGGGCATATTGCTCTTCGCACGTAACCCTGTGGCCTGATATCACTTGGACAGCGATATCTCGCAGAGCATAGAGCTGCAGCAACTAGTGCTTTTACACCAGCGTGACAATTACTGGGTTGCTGTTAAGGAACTTAAATTAAGCTACTATATTGGGTATATATAGTAAATAATAGGTCTTCCCCAATATAGTAACTTAACTTAATTTAAGTTCCTTAACAGCAACCCAGAAAAACAAAAACCGCAAAATGGCGACACGACGCCAGCAGCATGAGCTCCTTGCTGGGCCGTGGGGCCTTCCACGGCACAAAGAACCAAGCGCCCGTTGATCTGGAGGTGCCCTGCGACACCGTTGTTTGGTGGCGACAATGGCCGGTGGTCGTCGACTGTCGTCGTAGCTGCCCAGATTGAAGCCGAAGAGTTCGCAAGCGTTCATCGACACCGGCCAGCTGTTGCTCTTGTTCAACAACCAGAACTTTGCCGGAGGTGGTGTTCAGACACGCGCGTACGGTTACACACGGTTTACATAGGGACACCAGAAATACACGAGTGCTATGATATGTAAGGCTTGCATGTTGAAACTCCTGAAATTTCCTTAGATTAGCTTTTAGGGTTCAAGGTCTCTCCAATGGGAGACGCGTATAATAAATGGCCCACCAATATTCCCGAGGAACCCGATATACAGTCACCCAAAATCTCAGTGGGAACCCTCTCCCTACAATTTCTATGAACCAATGTAGAACCTCAGCTTCCTTTTCATGTTCCATGTTCTTTTCCATTCGGTTCTCCATTGCTGGTGATACTATCCCAAAACCCTAAGTCCCTAAACCCTGAATCCTTAAGCCCTAAATCGCCAAACCATTCAATCAATTTTAGCTAGTCTGGCAGGGTGATCGTTCTGCTGCATGGTCTAAGTGAACGTCTTCGGGCTTTGCCCCTCCTACAGATCCCAAACACCAAGCCCAAACCTTAAACCCTAAACCCCTGAAACTTCAAACCCTAAACCCGTAAACCACTTGAAACCCTCATGCCCTAAAACCCTTGAAACCCCTAACCCTAAAACCTTTAAACCCTAAAGCCTAAACCAGGGTTTAGGACTTGCATAGACCCTACGAATCCCTACGAGTACTGGAGGTTGGTGGGGTCCTGGCAAACTTAAACCTGACATGCTGAAACCCGTGATAGACCTCAAACCCAACATCTCAATCGCTCTAAACCCCGAACCCCAAATCCTAAATCCAAGCCCCTGAGCCCACACAATACAGGGTAGCTTTCCTACATAGGGGATTAATATAAACCCCGAAATAGCCTATTCCTTTTACCTGATGGGTACCCCCAAAAAGGTACCCCTAATTTTAGCAAACCCCCACAACAATACAAAGGCCCCAGTTCCAAGCCCAATGCATATTTGGAGGCTCACGGGAATTTGCAAGTACTCAAAACTCCAGGTAGTCCTACACATCCAAGTCCCCCCAAAATGCATTCGGGCCCCCAGATGCTGTGTTGCGGGGTCTTTTTCGTAATGAACCCTTGTCTTGGTAGGCCTTTGGGGCTACAGTATTGTGGGGTCTTTTCCAAAAGGACACCTTGTGTTGGTAGGCCTTTGGGGATACAGTATGCGATGTCTAGGCTAGTTCTAGTACAAGGACTCCAAGGGCGGGTCCCTCGTTCTCAATAGGGTTTAGGGCTTGAGATCTTCAGGTTCCATCATAGCTGCTCCAGATGGAATGTCGGACACATGTTGTCCTGAAGTCCTGAAAGCTGAACTCCGAACCTTGCCAAAGAACCACACCCTACTGACAATGACCTCTTCTGCGCTTATAGTCCACGTGGCTGCACAGCACGCTCGAGAGGCAGGGAGTCAGGGAGAGGTAAATGGTCACTTCCCCCTGTTAATGTCCCCCCAACCCACTTAAACGTAATTACGCCTAAAGCAATATCAAATGTTTCTGGGAGAGACGTATTGGGGGGAGGGGGGACATAGGAGCCTGGGGCAAACCCCTGTGTAACCGTAAGACTCCAAACTCAAATTTCCGGCCTTTGTAGGACCGCCTGAACTGATTTGCTGTTGAGCTCGTTCCAGCTTCTCCTGCCTCAGGGTAGCTACGTACTGGTTCTTAGTAGGGAATAAGGGAATATGCCGTGTAAGGGTTCTTTTTGGATAATATTCCCTTATCCCCTATTACGAACCAATAAGGCTACGGCTTGGGGGTCTACTTTGAAGATATGCCATACATGACATGGAGTGAAAGGAAGTCTGGTAAAGGCTATGTACTCGCACAGGCAAGGTTTTCAAGATTCGGCCTGGGCGTTTTGGATGCACGGGCATGTCAGCTGGCAAACTTTAACCCTAAACCCACGCAGCTTAGGGTTTAAGGCTTCGGGTTTAGGGTTTAAGGTATAAGGCTTCAGGTTTAGGGACTAGGGTGTATGGTCATTTTGGATCAGTCCTGGCAACCGCTCAAACCAACAACTCAGAACTCCAAGTTTCATCAAGTTGTTGCTGCCTAGCTTCTATGCCGCCTCTTGAGAGTAAACTTTGAACCCTCGTCCCACAGGGTCCATGTCCGTATAGTAATACTTGGGGCCCGAAGTAGGAACATGGGAAACCCTTTGGGCCCTAAGTAAACACAATATGCCTACTCCAAATCATATACCCACATGGACCCTTTGGAAGCGTGGCCCTAGCCTTGTAAACTGACTACGGTAGAAGCTGGAAAATGCCATAGGGTTTAGTAGGGTTTAGGGTTGCAAATGTCATCGTATCCATGTGCAATCTAGAACGCTTACACCTACCCACACTCCCCATACAACACCGACTGAATAGAACTTCCCGGTGTATAAAGGTGTAAGGGGTACTGTATTCACTATCAGAGGGTGGTTAGTATTATTGCGGAGGACAGCGACGATACTATACCCGAAGCCCTATTCCCATCAATTCACCCCCTACGCTCCTTAAAACCCTAAACCCCAGTCCCTAAACCCTAACACCTGAAACCGTAAACCCTAGTCCCTAAACCCTAAATCCCTGAAAGCCTAACCCCTGAAACCCCTAAACCCTACCTGTGAAGCCAAACATCCACTTTTAAAGTGGTCGCTCCTCAAATCCGGGCGTCTCCCCAAAATCCGGGCGTGCCATAAAACCCCCATTGTGCTCAGCGAGCTTCATTCATTCCTAAGAACCGCCTGACAGGCGACCTAAAGCAACATAGAACTTCTCTGATGTGACTCCTAACCTCTGCAATCTGCCCTCAAATTGAGCAGGTTATCCTTCAATGGCAGCACACCTTTGAAAACTCAAGATCAGGAGCGCTACAACGCGCGAGGGTGCAGCTGACTAAAGGAAGGTTGATTGGGTTTTGGCATTAAGGTTAGTTGATTCTGAATAAAGCTGCTCGTGGTAATGGATTCAAGACGTGAGCACTTCAGAAGCCTCCTACATCAACCCCAAAAAACATCCCTGAATACCAACGAAGTTCCTTGGCCTTGTGCAGAACCATCCAAAGCCTACCTGAAGTTAACCCCAAAAATCTGAACATCGAGCATCGAACAAACTGCTCCTATGCCTACCTTTTGCCATTGGCGCGGCCGCTTTGGAGCCAACTTCTTTGGTGCTGGGGAAGGACTGCGGGGACACCTCAGGTTCAGGGGATTTCTACAATGCGAGTTTGAATTTGGCATGTGGGATCCTAGTTGGTTGATTGCGGGTATATATTTGTGGCCCAGAAGACTGGTACCCTGCGTACGGAAATCATTGTAAGTTGATTCTACATTTTACGAATTGTATACTGTCTGGTCTATACAGAAATAAAATATTCCTTAGGGGGATCAAAAACAGTAAACCAGAATGCCGCATAATGGCTATTATAAGCCGAAGGGCTGTACATTCCACCCCAGAAGTCAGCCGAGCAGGTGTAAAAGCAAGTCCTTGTCCAATGCTGTTTGCATCCACATAATGTACCGCTGGAGCGTTTTGAGAGCAATAGCTTTGCAATCCACACGGCGGCTTATCCGAGCCGTCTTGCCCACGAAATCCTCCGACATGAAGGTTGCTTCCGCGCAGGGATTCACTGCAATGCCAGCAGTTTCCCATTCCTGCAATACACGTAGGAAGATGTGATTCAGGTAATGAATTTTCGGGCGAAGCTTGAAAAGGCAGAGGCTCGCAGCATGGCACATACTCACGAGGGCTGCGTACCCGCACAAAAATGCGTGGCCGTTCCTAATCACAGCCTGGCAATCTTCACTCGGCATAAAGTAGTCACCTTTGAAGAAAATTCGCACGGCATTGCCCATGGCAATGCCCGTCTGGAGGATTTCCACCAAAATCTCGTCACACGCCACTTTAGTATGGAAATCCGGGTTTTGCAACAAGTCAACCACAAACTTCATGAGAATGGCCGTGTCCATGTTCTTGCTCCAATGGCCTTCGGGGAAGTCCCTGGTGCCACTGTAGCCTAGCAAGTCCTCGGTCAAGTAGCCACAGTGAAGGTGCAATTTGTTTCTGCGCAAGAAATTCCTGAGTTCATCATTCAAAGCAGCCAGATCTTTCCGGATGCTTCCAAGGCCAAAGCACTGTTTCATTGCGTATATGAGGGCGCTAGCAGCAAAATCCTTGCCTACACCAGCATGGTATACATGGAAAAAGTCAGCGCGAAAGAAAGCAGCTGCACTTTCAGCAGGGTCAAGCAACATGTATCTCAAGAGTCGCCCGCCATCATCGGACCAGGGGAGGGGGTTGTTGAGCCCAGAGGTCTGGATCCATAAAGGTGTCACCAACCCAAGGTGCTCAAACGGGTAGCTCACATCTTCCCACTCATACCCAGCATGGCACAGCCAGCAACAGCCTTTTTGGGGATTCTTCGAGGCATGTGTCTTCCGCACATTGTTGAAGGAGCGATTCATCTTGCTCACCTTTTTGACGAACGGTGAATCCCCTGTAAACCCCAGAATTACAATTCTCCACAGGGATCCTTGCGCCCAAAACCCATCAGAAAGCAGAGCTTGCAGTTGCTGGCCCCATAGTTCAAGTAGGTCATCGAAAAGTCCAAGGTCCTTCTTAAAGACAAGGGAACTGAGCACTGTGAAAAGGAAACGCGTAGCTCCACTGCTCCCCGAAAGGTTGATGCCTTGTTGGTCGGCATCGCTGTGGTTCCTTTTTCTATCCAGCTTCACAGGGCTTTGGTTGGTGCCAGCGCCAAGAGCTGGCAACATTGACAGGATTTCAACTGCCTCCTTCTTGTACCCACGACCTCCATCACCATGCAAATAATATGGTATGAGTTGGGGAAGCGGGAAGTATTGCTGGAAGATTTCGTGTTCAGGGTGCAACGTCCGGTACTTGCGCCAAAAAATTTCAAGAGACTGTTCAGCTAAGTGCACTGGAACACCCAGCACCTTGTGGAAATACCTTTCACTCAAAACCTCCAGGAGATGCCTAGGTTTCAAGTACGGGTAGCGCTCCATCTTACCAGCTTTAGCAAAGCTGATGTCAATTCCCATTGTCAGGCCATTCTCCCGAAATATCTTGTAGAGTGGCACGTCAGCGCTTGATAGCTTCACCCTAGCAATTTTTTGTAGCACCTCGCAAGGATCTCGTCTGGCTGCTGCCAGGGCATCCAAGACGATGTCCTTGGCGGCGACCTTAGCTCAGACCCTGCTGCAATCAACGCATGCGCAGACGTGTTCAAGAGCTGCAGCAACGCAAAACTTTTTTCGAGTTCGGGCAGACGCAGGGTGACATCCTTTTACGGGCCTGGTGTAGTTAAAGGCCTGCAGTGTGTATTCACACGCAGAACACCATGCAAGGGTAATTATCAGCCTAGGATGGGCTCTTTCTGCGATGCATCTGTGGCTGCGCAATATACATAGTAGGGAGGCTTGAAGCGGGGACTGAAGTCTTTCTTTCTCATGCTCTCACCGCCACCTTGTTTGTTGCGGCAACACCGAACATTATCGTGGAACTCTGCAATGAGGGCAGCCTCTAACATTTCACACATCCCTAGAAGCTCTGCTTGGCAGACCTTGTGGAGGATCACGAAGCTCTTGAAGTTTTGCTTGAGGTAGCTCTCACGGCGCTGCCATGCATCGGAAGTGATGCCAATCTTGAAGACACATAAAGATTTCCCACCATTCTCTGAGCGAATATTGTTCACAACTTTCACACAGCGGTGCAGAATTCTGGATGCGATTTTTGTTTCCGAAATGGTTCGGAAATCCATCAGGAGCTCGTCTGATTCGTGGATCTCTGCGTCAGGGCGCCCAGTAGCGGTCGGGGAAATTTTTGAGGGTGTCTCAAGTTCAGCTTCCCCTTCAGATTCACTCCATGGGAGAATGTCTAGCTGCGCAGTTCGCATGCTGAAAGCATTCGGAGGCCTCAATCCTAGCTACACTCCCGTGCAAAAATATGGCCTGCAGCATCGATAAAATTAGTTGCTACTATAAACGATTGTCAAAACTGGCAACCAAAGCGCACGCAGCTTTCCTAATGCATGGGGCCCTGGCCCCTTGGCCATACTTCCTTGCCATGAGAAGAACTTGTTCACTGGGACCATTTGGGATTTCGTCAGAGCCTGGCCAGAGGGATAGGCAGTTGCGGATGCTTACGGTGTTAATAAAACTTGGCTGATTGACTTGTCTTGCCTCAGGGCTAGGTTTCTAAATGATTTGAACATATATCAGGGTTTTGGATTCACAGAAAGCTTTCTTTTCCACATACTCAATCACCAGGACTGTTTTGACTAAAATGGCCACTGCCACTCAGGGGAATCCCTAAGTATAGACTTTGTAGGCCTGTACAGAATTAAAAGCAGTCAATCAAGCCCACCAACGCGCAGAAGCCCGTGTGTGAATCACAAAAGGTTCGATGGCCAAAGATCTGGTTTTGACAAACCCCCGTTTTCGACCCCAAAGCCCAGACCTGTCAAAATCCCCTAGGGAGGCTGACAGTTTCGGAGCTGGAAATGGGGGTTTGGGTAGGCCAAATGGAGAGGAGTGGTTTCTACATGGGGCTCGCAAAGGGCAAAAGACCCCAAGATCTGCTTTTGACAGACCCCCATTTTGGATCCCAAAACCCCGACCTGTCAAAATCCGATATAAAGGCTGAAAATGAGGGTACAGCAAACCCCAGTTTCGGAGCTGGAAACGTGGGTTTGGGTAGGCCAAATGGAGAGGAGTAGTTTCTACACCAAAGATCTGCGTTTGACAGACCCCCATTTTTGATCCCAAAACCCCGACCTGTCAAAATCCCCTAAGGAGGCTGAAAATGAGGGCACAGCAAACCCCAGTTTCGGAGCTGGAAACGTGGGTTTGGGTAGGCCAAATGGAGAGGAGTAGTTTCGTTGTATAAGGGGGTAAATACACATCTAGACGACCCATGTATGTGTGTGAGGGGTGAGTGGGTGTACATTCGGTTCCCTTGATTTGGTGAGCTACGGCTGGAAAATTCCAAAAGGCGACTACCTAACCTTTTCCACGCCACACCCAAGCCAGATCACGCGTGGTCAAAGCAACCAGGCGACGAAGCGGATAAAGAGGCTGACGCTTGCATTCAAGCGGCGAGCTCAGCTCAGCTCAGCCCTGCTTAACAGAGCACGACTAGTTTGCAGAATCGGGCAACGTGCTTGAATAAACTAGCTAGTGTCAGGGGGGACCGGTATCCAAGGCATGTAGTTAGGAGAGGAGTATTATAAACCCGTATGAAAAGCAAGTACGCCCTGCTGCGCGGTCCCTATGGTTTGCTAGCACTCTGCAGGCAACCCATTGAGAACATGGCCCAATTAAGTGGCACAGGTCATCCACTTCTGTCACAGGAAAGTTGACATGAGGCTTACAGTAAACCCTATAACCCCATAAACACTAGAAACCCTAAACCTATAAACGCTAGAAAAGCTCACCCTAAGATCCTAAACCCTAGAAACCCTAGAAACCTTAAAAACCCTAGAAACCCGTAATCCCTATATAAACGCTGTAGACCCTGTATAAACGCTTTAAGCCCTAAACCCTTTATGCCTCAGAAGACTAGCCCAGATGTTGCTGTAGACAAGAAACATGTATGCAAGTCAGCGTGGCCTCTACTTATTGTGAAAGAAGCGGCTCGCCTGAAAGTTTCAAAAACCTATCGCAAGCTAGGCCCTCCTACGATCAACCAAAATTTGATCAAGCCCAAACATCACACCACAACTCCATGAGTGCTGATACGACGGCCAGCATCACTCGTTATCCTGATCACTCTTCTTCGCAGCCTTGCGCGCCCGTGCAACGGCCTGCCTCAGATGAACTAGCATGCATTTAAGTGAGAGCCCTTTGCGCGATCAATTTTTCTTGTTAGGAGCAAGCTACACGCAGGAATCCCTGACATTCATAATCATATACAGATATATAAGGATATAACTACAGACCAAAACAACAGTAGCACACCACAGGCCTCGAGAGTTAAGTTTCATGCAGATCCAACCCTGGTACCGATTTAATTGCTTGGAAGGGGCTTGTTGGCCGCTTCCAATGAGGTGGCGCGAGACATCCTGGGCGAACAAGGCGCCAAACTCAACTAGTGGGTTTGGGGTTTATAGGGTTTACAGGGTTTGTAGGGTTTATGGGGTTTAGGGTCTATAAGGTCTCGACTGATGAAAGGCAGGGTTCAGCTTCTGGGCGGTCTTGAACTTGGCGTGGCACTCTGTAGTCAGCCTGGGCTTCATATATGTAGTGGAAAGATCGTTGAAGATTGCCTGTTCGCATGTTTCTTTGTAAACATTCGGGGCCCTATAATAGTAAGTGTGTATCTTTGTGTATATCCCCAATTAAACAGATTCGTCCTTGTGTTCGTGGAAAAAGTGAAATGAGAGGCCCATAACTTCGAAAGAAGCACCCCAAAAAAGGTCGACGCAACAATCGTATGGGGTCCGCGCATGGTCAATACAATCTGGGTCGACACGTAGGCTTACGAGGCAAAGCGCATGAATATTATGGAAAGAGACTCTAGTGCCATAGACAAATTGCCCTTGCAATACTTAAACGATGAGACCAGGACCAGAAGCTTCTCATTGAAGCCACTCGTTTGGCCTTCAGCCTTCAAATCCGCCATGTCCTCATAGAGAGACTCAAACTCCTTCACAATTGCCTCGATCTTGGCCATGGGCCTGAGGTGCTGGAAATTTGCAGCTGAATCATGTTGGGCTCGCCCGGGCCCTACTTAGACAAATTCTACTTTGCCAGTACGCAGGGAAGAGTCTGATTGCAAGCAGCATCACCAGCTGCGGCCGTTCTCATCTTCTGCAGAAAGCCGGAGATGGAATTCTTTGCTTTGAGCACTTGGGACATGTTCTCTGACAGCAAGACGGCAACCTTAGGTTATAAATAAGTTCTGTGGTACTGAACAGGAGTAGCATTATCTAGATGCCCCAAGCTACTAGCACCTAACTGAGTACGAATTGGATAGAGGTCATGCAAGAGGCTCCCTTCCGGCAATCTCCCTCAAGAGCATGCTCTCCCTTACCAATAACGTCATCGTCGTCCTCAAAGTCGATCTTGCCCAGGTTCACCAGCGGCGCCATGGTGAGATCATCTTCGGCTGAAGGCCCTTCGTAAGAGCGAGTGTGAATCAACTCGTCTGACTGTTCCTTCGACCAAACTGCCTCCGTTCTGGTGTTCGCCCAGTACTCCAAGGTTTCGTTGTCATACTCGCAATGCCTGTATCGGAGGGCACGCTGGGCTTCTTAATAGTAGAGTTGGTGTTTCTCGGAAAAGGGATAAGGGAGAGGAGGACATGAGCTGCAATTCTGATTGTGGCAATCATACGGGGAACGCAGGTGAATCCTACTCCTAGACGGGTAGAATCATTGCCAAATTAGCTTGCGCACTGCGTCGAGTTCTACGGAAAGTTGTCTTTGTAGTGACTTTTTGGGGGAGGTCAACATGGAATGTAGACACAGTGGCCTCAACAGATACGCAATTTACTCTCCAAAAACTGGCCCGCATACCCCATATGACTGAAGCCCGAGCATGAAGATGTTCCCTTTTCGTGGGTGTACAGAACCTGCAACGCCTACCATGCGAGCAGAATTAGTGTCGTGCGCTGGAAGGGAAAGGGCACTTTTGATATTCTGAATTCCTCAGATTCTGCGTTGGCAAAACCCCAAGACACCGTCAAGTGATCCAGGTTCCTGCGTTCTGATGAAAGTAGGTATAATTGAATTTATAATGTTTAGGGTTCACAATTGTCTTTCTATTATATTTATATATATATCGCGGGGGTTATAGGGTTTTGTACACGGTACATATAGGGTTCGTGGGGTAAGGGGGCCCGAGGCTTTTCAATCAGTTGACTTGCAAAATCCTGATGCCCCTGTAGAGACACTTCTCCAAAACCAATGCAAATCCAAACCAGATACAGGGAACCTGTACTACACTTTATAGCGGCCGCACAAGCACATTGATGTAGCGGCGGACACCTAGCCCAAAACCCAAGCCCGAAGCCAAATCCCTGCAGGGAACCCAAGCCCGAAATCCAAGCCCGAAACCCAAGGCCGACACCCAAGGCCGACACCCAAGGCCGACACCCAAGCCCGAAATCAAAGCCTGAAGTCCATCCCGAAACTGAACACCCAACACAAGGTTATATAGCAAGGATCATCGATCTCTGTGTGTCGACTTCCGTCCCACCTTACCTGAGTTAAATGTTCGATTGGTTAGTCTGCGTATGATCTCGAGAATTTGTAGAAGCTTGATCACACGCAAACATGATTCAAGCTCAAAACCCTCTACATTCTACAGAAAGAATGTGGAAGCCCGTTGGCAATATAATGCGCCAGGGGTGCCGAACAAGTCCTTTGCTCTCTGCCCACTTGACGATCTTCTCAATCCTGGACCTGCGTGGGTCACGCATGCAACTATAGGCCGCTCTTTTGGGAATTCTTGATTCAGGTTCCAGTTTACTATGTTCGAGGTTGTAACTGGGATGTTTCGAGACCATGCATTTACATCAATGAAACTGGTTGCGGTTTATTATACTTTGGCTGTAGCTAGATCCATGCGCGATTCATCCAGGAGGCTGGCTGTAGCCGAGCTCATGCTTCATGTCGTCCTTGCTGTAGAAGCCACCTTTGACTGTAATCATCTTGGAGCGCTTCTTCTTGGCAACGACCATCACGGACTCCATGAAAACTGCCTGAAACGAAAGACTCTTCACGTGAGAAGGGATGCTAAAGAGCATGATCATAGAGATGGGCGCAACACCCGGGATAGTACAAGCATTATGGAGCCCGTATAGACCTGCGTGCAACTATGAAGCTACCCTGTTGAAATCCACATAACATCTGCGCGACCTCAAACTTGCACGATGGGAAAGCTAGTGTTCCGTCCAGCTGTAAGGGCATGTATGTTGCTCGCAAATCGACCCTTAATTAGAAACTTCAAACGCCAAAGCATAAATTATGTTCATGTTCCAGGGTCCTTCACACCGCCACTCTTTGCCCACATTTGGAACAAGGTCTCCCGTCCCTTGGACGCGTCCTGCCACATCTCGAAGATATTCTCAGGCACTTCCAAGCGCCCACTCCCCTCCTTTGGGGTTACGATGCGCCGCACCTTTTGCTTTTCATTTTTGCTCAAGGTTCCGGCTTGGAGCACCCGAGGGATATCATCAGGGTCCGTAATCCTCAGCGGGGGTGGGGTGACTGATCGCGGGCGCTTGCGCGAGGACTGTTCGGAGCTGACATCGGATGGCTTGCAAGGGGCCTGGCTGGGAGACTTGGTCGGGGTCGTGGGTGCTTCGGCGCTGCAGGCAGGCTTGGGTTCGGAAAGCTGCGAAGCCTTACGGCTCTGCGTGAGATATCTATATAAAAATCTATGTGTGGCTATCTCGTGAGAGGGTTACAGAAACTATCAGTGATGATGTAAGTGGGAAACATGCCTTTCCCTTGCGAAGACAATGCAAAACTGGTAGTACGTTCGATGATGCCTTATAGAGACCGAGAACAATGCTGGGTAATACAGAGGCGGGAAAACATGCATATAATCCATTAGATTGTATACAGATGTGCATCTAGCGACAGTGCACGAATCATTTATCACTCAAACTACCTGAAATGATGTTGGAGAGAACCGCGATCGAGGAACTTGAGGCGCTGCGGCGGATCTAGGTGCTAGTAGCTGCTGAAGAAACTCTTGCTGGCGTAGAACGATTTCCCGCAGTTGCTTCACCTTCAGGATTGGAATCCCGGCAAAACCCAGACAATCTAACATGCACCTCACACGTCAAATAAACACCTCATCCGAAGTAGCAGCAGGAGGGGAAGCAACTTGCGCGCTGCTTGGGCTGGGAGTCGGTGTGGCGGGAGGAGTCGGGGCTGCAATCTCCTGCCTTACCTCGTGCAATGATAGAGTTGTAGCCTACTTGAAGTGGGACGTTCAGGGTTTACCATAGTATATGCCAATAAGAAATACAGCGCGCGCTCAACCAAGGCACCACGTGAGTGGCTCTGGGAGTGGCAGGCTCCGGTTTGACTGGCGAGCGTGCGCTGCCCAGAGCATTGGACAGTTCCTGCATGCATGGAGATCGATTCTGATTCTAGAAACCACATAATTTTACTTGGGTACTTCAATTCATACCAACCTTCATTGGATGGCATGTGGATTCGGTTTTGCTGCTACACGAAGAGATTTCTAGAGGAATAACAAATCAAAGGGCCACACTTTGTACGTGATTCTAAGCAAAATTGTGAGCCGTCCTGAGACAACTCCCTCAGACCACCGGGGTTCCCCTCGGAAGCTTGCCGCATCAACGCGTGGAGTCCGGCAACCAAACTCGCCGCTGAGTGCACGTCCCTATTCAACGCCATTGCAAGCAAACACCTATCAGCAATCGCCACACGAGATCTTGGGCTGGAATCTGCGCGGATCTTTCAAAAATCATTCCAAAAGTGAAATTTTCAAATCTGGTCGTTGCACGTGTTTTTCCGGGTGTTACTTGGGTTTTTCCGGGTGTTGCTTGGCCAAATCCGGTTGTTTGGTTTTTCAACTTTTTCAAAACTTAACAGGATGGAATAAAACCGTACTTCGAGGGAACTTGCTCGAAACATCAGGCCCGAAAGCCCGAAGTTCGCAATCATTTCATGGCCGTGAAGACGGTGTTTTTGAAGCTTCAGTGAACCAACAAAGCCGAATGTTATCTTTCATAAGGGAAAACCCGAAATAAGAAAGAACTCCTGAAACGACGGAAAAGTTAAAGCCGAAAAGCAACTAGAAACCTGAAACGGCAAGCCCGAAATCCTGAAGATCGAAACGCTCGAAAAACAGAAGCCCGAAAAAAGGCCCGAAACATTCAAGCACGAAGCGCTCGAAAAGCAGCAGCCTGGAAAAAGGCCCGAAATCCTGAAACGCGAAACCGTCCAAAAGGAAAAGCCCGAAATGAGGCCCGAAACCCTGAATCACGAAACGCTCGAAAAGGAAAAGCCCGAAAGCAGACCCGAAACCCTGAATCACGAAACGCTCGAAAAGCAAAAGCCCGAAAGGAGACCCGAAACCCTGAAACCTGAAAAGCTCGAGATCCTGGAATTCACTAAGCATGAATCCACGCAACCCTTCAGGAATTTCAGGCCCGAACCTTTGAATGATGACATGCTCAGTGTACGTTACAATACACAGATCACCTTACATATATGCGTGTATCTATATATTGCATGGTGTGCATAAGCCCCCTATAAACCATATGAAACATGCATGCATGGACCTTCACGCAGTCACTATATACCTTTTTCCTTTACATCTGTGTTTTGATTTGAATCTGCGTATGATCACCTGGGTTTTTAAAGGCTTGTAAAACAAATCCACAGAGCCGTTCTGCTAGGTGGGCCCTGCAGCTGCAAAACCTAGCTGGGAATAACTGGTTTCAGGGACCTTGGCTGGGGCACGGAGATGCAGGTTCTGTTCCGTATATGATGGGCATATGGAATGATCATAAAGAACCCATGCAAAACAGCAACACTTTCTTGACACGGTGTTTCTGGGTTGTACATAGGCAAGCGCACAAAGAGTCCGAACAGCACCTTTTTGTCAAAACAACATTTCTGGGGTTTCTAAACCCGATCATGTGAGCTCTGGTGTAAATCCTTGAGGAGGTTTTATGAGGGATTAAACAGGGGAGAAACTTATGGGGGCTATTATGGGGATGCTAGGAGTTTCGGCTATATATACTTCATGTAGATAAGGATAGGTTTGAGCAGGGCAATGAAGACACCCGATTAATAGCCTCTCCCCAAATATAATGGTAATGATAATAAGGATCCATAATATTGACTCCGTGAAAGGGAAGGGGTATATTCATTCGGATCCTCTGTAATAAGGAGCACGCTAGGAACTCCTGCCTGTAGAAATCAATGAGGCCTTGCTACATAAGACTTCCCCACTTCAGAAACCCTGTAAACCTTCAAAACCTTCAAAATCCTACACAACGTCGGAATGTTAAACAAATCCTAGGTCCTAGACATGTAGATCTACTTGATCCTTCTGAACCCCTAATTTCTCTGCACATATCTTAAACACACCCTGTATGATGGTAAGGAGCTGCCCTGTAATGCCCATAAATCCCAAACTGTATACTCCTTGCAAAAGTCGATTTGCATACATTCGAACCCCTATGATCGCAGAGGTAAACGCTGCAACCGATCCCATGATTTTCTGCTGAGGACCTGCGGTGATGGAATGATCATACGGATTGGGAAACCTTTTCTAATTTGAAAGACATGATCGTCTTCAGCACGAATTGTAAGCATCTTTGCGAATTTGGGAATTGTATAGAGCTGCAGACAGCTACAGACGACTGATAGTCAAACTTGCCCTATGACGATAGGAATCGACCTCTCCACTGCTGGTGCACCTGAAACTCAGTCCGTCTCAGCTGTGAAAGCTTTCTACATTGCCTAAGCAAACATTTCTTTGGGAAAACAACATTTCCAGATTTCTGGAATCACAAGACCTTTGGCTCCATACACATACTTTAGTAGATCAGGGAGGCCAGCATCGCTCCAATCATCCTCACCCATCTCTAGCTGTGCCAAACGGCCCACGACTGAGTCATCAATGCAGGAAGCTGCTGGCATAGCCGGATTCTTGAAGAAGCTCGGCAGCAGATCTGCCATCTTTTGGCCGAACTCACGAGTGTAAGTCCTCAATTCGGACAAACAAGGGTGATCTTGAACGAGGCTTTGATTTTTCTTCCATGGGGATAAATACTTAAAGGGAAGCTTGGGGCTACGATTCGCAAGTGGCAACTGTTGTGATGGGATCATGCTCACTATTGTTTTGCTTCAAGAGACACACCTAAAGAATTACTATCTAGTCTTTTGCTTAAAAAGTGGAACAACTGGGGGTCGAGCTGAGTTCCTTTCAGGGCTGCTGTTCCGGAGTATTGCGCTTTGCCGTTTGAGCCGATGGTCTTCTTCACGGGTTGGACATGGCCATGTTTGGCTCGCTGGCGTTGCTTGTACCCGTTGGTCAACTTCCCCTTGTCGAACTTCAAGACACGGTGATTGCTACTCCATAACACCGACCTTTTTGGACACGAGTGATTGTAATGCATCATCCAAAATCGGCAAACATAGACCTGATCAGAACGCTAGGCAGGTCTGAAGAAATGCTGCAATGTGCAATTACTCGGAAACCAAATTCAAGACCCACCCCGAAACTTAATTCTTCTTAATTCAATTCGACGCCTTGTGAACGCTGCATAGCCATTGAAATCTATGATGCCGGAAGGCGAGGGAACCGTGCGGTTGCTCCAACACCCAGGAAGCCCCCATGGAAAGGCATAAAAGACATGTCAATACTGTCCTCTGCAGGCAGCAGCGGCAATTTGGCTGATGCATTGGCTGGAGGCATCAGATCAGGGTAGCATAATCGAAGAAGTAAGAGCGTAGCAACACAAAACCTCAACATTATTTTTTCAGGGAAAAGCTACAATGTTTCTTCGAAATATCTTATGGGCACGGCGTCCCTGTTCACTTCAGGATTAGCTTAGGTTGTGCAGTTTCGGGAGTCCTTGAAAGCATTGTATTTCCCATGGCAACACAGTCCAGGTCCTGCCGACCTTCAGGATTCAACCAACATCTCATTGTAGTGCTTTGGCATATCGCCACCCACGACGAACACAACATTCCCAGCCACAAGGTAAAACCTTCCTCGGACCCCTTGAGCACGGAGAGTAGATGAAGCCTCGGCAAAAGGGATAAATTTCTTCAAGTAACAGGATGCCTATCTGCCATCCACTTGAAGATAGATCGAAGTACAAATCTAGGCCCCGGTCGCAAAACCACTTGGAGTAGTCACGTCCATAGTACGATGGTATTTCAGATCCATTGTTCCAGTGGGTCGTCTATAGGTATCACGTACAGCCTTGGACATAGCTGCTTCCCCGGCATAGTGCTCCACAAAGGTGAAGGTCTCAGGGAACGAAGACATGGATCTAATCACTATGGAACAATTAATCTGCCAAAAATGCTAGAAAGATTTTGTCACCTCTTACGATACCTTATGGCCTTCCATTCTATGCTTGCTGCCACCCTCCTTTGTATAGACCCTATATATATTTAGCCAGGTAGAAGTTTCCAAAACTTTCCCTGCGGTCCTTTCCAAACCAATTTCCCACTTCCCTCAACCTGCCGTAAATCATTCAGAAATTGGAGCAAAACTAACAAGATTTGGTTTTGAGCCCCCGAAACCTTTAGGTGTAATTGGCCGCCTGTTTAAAGTGTTTTGGGTTTATAGGGTCATGGAGTTTGGGATTTTCTATATGTAGGGTTTATACGAGCACATACAGCTTGCATTGCGCAACTGTGGCTGAATACTGTCCTCAGCCGTTGCTTTTCCTACGCAACAGTTCTGCTACGCCGCTTGTCCACTCCATCAAAGTTCAACACTTCCACACACACTTCATTTACCATCACTGTCATATGGGGCCCCACCCTACCTGGCTCAGGAGCTGATATGGGACATAACTTTTTTTACGGCTGGGTTTTTCTACATACCCTCTTTGTAAGAAAAAAACAGTACAGTACACCACCATCTACTGCTTCTGCGTGTTTCTGCGCCTGCCCTTGCATTCGCTGTTATGGTACACCTTCTAGTATCATTTCCATAAACCTTATTAACCCCATCAAGCCTCTTAACCCAATAAACCCAATAAACCCTGGAGACCCTATAAACCCTATGTATGATATATATATAAGCCCTCTAAACCCTAAAACATCCTGCCAGCCTGGTTCGTGTTCAGGCGCTCATTGAAGAGAAGGCACAGCACCACCAAGATGAAAGCCTGGCCATCGGATATGCAGGGGTTTAGGGTTTATAGGGTTTATAGGGGTTTAGGGTTTATAGGGTTTGTAGGGATTATAGGGTTTAGGGTGTACCTGCGGGGTAGAAATACGGGGACATTCTATTTGACGTTGTATGAAACCCCATTGCCCTATAACGTGCTGACCCACGGAGCGCTTGAAGTATCTCATTTTGAGCACCAAGTGTACCAACATAACATTGCAGGGGAATCCCTAAGTATAGACTTTGCAGGCATGTACACAGTTAAAAGCAGTCAATAACTCACGCACACCAATGCGCAGAAGCCCATGTGTGAATCGCAAAAGGTTCGATGAGCAAAGATCTAGTTTTGACAGACCCCCATTTTGGACCCCAAAACCCAGACCTGTGAAATCCCCTAGGGAGGCTGAAAATATGGGTACAGCAAACCCCAGTTTCGGAGCTGGAAATGGGGGTTTGGGTAGGCCAAATGGAGAGGAGTGGTTTCTACATGGGGCTCGCAAATGGCAAACGGCCCCAAGATCTGCTTTTGACAGACCCCCATTGTTTCCCCAAAACCCAGACCTGTCAAAGTCCCTTAAAGAGGCTGAAAATAAGGGTACAGCAAACCCCAGTTTCGGAGCTGGAAATGGGGGTTTGGGTGAGCCAAATAGAGAGGCGCAGTTTCTACATGGGGCCCATACATGCAGTAATCTAGCCCTGTTATGGGAACTACACACCATCCCCAGCTCCACCTTGGGAGCTTGAAGTTGCAGCAGATTGCCGACAATCCGCTCAGGCTGGGTCATGGCCAATGTCGAAAGCAAAGGCGAGGATGTTTAGGGTTTTCGGGTTTATAGGGTTTAGGGCTCATATCTTTGCATGCGATACCTTTTCGAGCTGCTGCTAGAAATGATTGGTACTGCAATAATGCTCTCCAGCTGTTTCGCTGTCTAGGAGCCTTGCGCACAAAAGGCTGATAGTTGAACGAATAGCAGCAAAGCCTTCAATCAAGATAGCGTGTGTCAGCAGAGCACCATGCAGACCAGCCTGAGCTTGAATCGGCTCTGTCAGGATCAGGGGCGCCAGAATGAGCCATTCATCACCTGCGCGGAGGCTAGCTTGGGCTGGGAAAGTCATGAAACTGCACATCCGCGGTAGGGCAATGCACCATGCAAAGCGTACGGACGATGTAAAACATTTTTTTGCGGCCGTGGCAGGTTTGCATCACACTGGGAGCTCGCTTGGCCTAATCCACCCAAGCCACGTGCCATGAAGCACAAATCCGCTTCGGAATCTGTGCCCATCCTATACGTGTGGAGCGTGTTTACCCAAATAGCTTTTGAAGATGTGACGCACGTTGCCGGCAGAATGCGAAGCAGGCTTTAAGCACACCTACTGAGCCATGTGGCGTATTCCACATAGAACCGAAATCTCCAAGCTAGGAGGTTCACTAGAGCGTCCCCATACCGCCCGAACAGCCCCCCACTTGAAGCAAAACACCACTCGATCATTCACAGATCAGTGCGACTACGAAAACCCCTTCAGCAACAAGGCTTCAAAAGCCTTGCGAGACAGCCTCTTGGCCCCATTAAACATCTTCTCGCCCTGCTCAGACCACTGCTTGCCTAAGCATTGGAAAGTTCAGCCATGCATGCCTATGGAAAAAAACAAGGGAACTCCCACACAAACAGGGCCATATCAGCCTAGAAGCTCTGGGTGGGCGTCATCCCTCAAATACTCCCACGCCAAGTTGTTGGCCATCTCGGGCCATTCCTCTGGATCCGTGATGGTCTGGCCACGCTCGTCCATCTTCGTGTGAACATACCGCCAAAAGCAATCCTGCCACGAAGCTACACGCAAATTGACGCATAGGCCAAAACAGACACATACAAAACAGTACTGCTTAAGCAAAGCTAATCCGGCTGACAACTGCTGAAGTCCTCCAACTTGCTGTGCCCCACAACGGCCCATTTGATTCTCTCATTGTAGGCATTCTTGATTGCCTCCCACTTCTTCTGAAAGAATGGGCGGGTGGGGTAGTAGCGTCGGGCAAACGTCAAGTTGTCCTCTCCCCCTTCGGCCTTCTCATTTGCAGCATCTTTGCCTTTGGAAGCTTTGGACTTGGCCCTGATCCTAGTCGCAGGGGGCTCTGCATCCTCTTCCTCAGCGTCGACTGCCTTGTCCTCAGCAGTCTCGGTCGAAAAGTTGGCTGCCTTGGCCTCACGGCGGGGTCTCTTGGTCGCCTTCCCGCTTTTGCATATGGATCGCTTCCTGGAAATTCCCCTGCAAGGCTTCTTGCGAGGCTCGGGCTTCACCGCCTCTGCTTCATCAGCCCATTCCTGCCACTCCTCCTGGTCATGTGCTTCCTCGCGAGGGAGGTCGTCTTCCCCTCCATCATCATCGTCGCGCTTGGCGGGCTTCGAAGATTTGGAGCCTGAAGCCTTGCCCTTGGGCTTGCCGTGGCTCTTGGCTTTGGCTTTTTTCTTGCCGCGCCCCTTGCCGCAAGGAACATCCTCCTCGTCGATGGCATTGGGAGGCTTGGATTTCTTGAGTGATGACAGCGCCAGCTGGTCCTTCCGGGACACCACGGTCGCAACCTGAAGAATGCAAAGAACGTGAATCACAAAACCCAACAATTTCAATAAGCCAACGCCACATGACTCAACATCGGAAACAGACAGCATGGCTCTTTATGTGCAATCATGTGACTGGCTTCTCAACAGATTCAGCCGACTCATCAGGGCGCTTGCCTAGCTCCCTCGCTTCCAGCTGCTTCCTGAGAAGTGCCACGCTGGCCTCACGCCGCTGCTCCCGGAGTTCTTGAAGTTGTTTTTCCATCTCATTTGTCTCCTTCTCAAGCTCTGCCCTTCGGGCTGCAACTTTTCTCACATGCTCTTCCTCCTCCTTGGCTTTTGCCTCCATCATTTCCCTACGAACTGCCTGGTCCCGTGCTTCGGCCAAAGCCCATGCATTGACCGTGGCATCGGGGCCTGGAAGCCATGGCTGAGTCTCCAACTCATCCGGGCTGGTAGATCCAGATCCTGGTCAGGCAGCAAGCGTTTGGAGTGCTCTCCTTATCCTCCTTAGGTAGAAAACGCAATGAGGGTAAACTGGCGAAGGTTTTATCCCAAATTACTGTCATTCAGGCCTTCACTTGTGGAGAAGCTTGCCAAGCTCGGTTTCTCGTCCTTAAAGCTCAATTTCTTGACCACCGCATCCTCGCCAACAGTCTGCGTGACACTCACTGACTCGGTCCTGGGTGAGAATGCATCTATGCGGGAACAGGGCGATGAATGCCAAGCTGAAACATTATCAATCACGGCGGTCAATGATCACGCGTGTAGCCAAAATCCCCAAAATGAGTAACAGATGACAAAATCTTCTGTGTGGGGCAATGCGCAACTTCTGGTTGACTACGCGCAGAAGATTCTGAATCGTCTGCGGCTCCAAGCCTGCAATGACACCAGCAAGCCCTGTGCCTCCAATTGGGGCCGGCTTGACACTTGTGATCTCCTTGGCAAGCATCCGAGGGATGATTTGTTAAATTGGAATAGACACTGTCGAGAAACTTTTCGAGGCCTTATAAGCATGCAGGGCTACACCTAGAAACTCCATGACCAATAACTCGAAGCCGTGATTCGACAGGAGTTCCAGGGGAAATGGGTATCACTGTCCTCACAGACTTGCTGGGCGTGGCTTCCGGGTTGCCTGTACCGGTGCTCTCAGCAGGTGGCGGTAAGGTACTCTCAGGCTCAGGGACAACCGCCACAGGAAGGGCCTCGTGCCTCTCTGGCTCAGGCAAAACCAGCTGAGACAAAACTCTAGCTGCGTTTCCACCATCCACACCGGATGCATCAGGCTTTCCCAACAATGGTCGGGTCAATGCCTTCCTCAAGGCAGTGTCCATGTCAAACCCCAAGGCTTGCTCGAGGCCCTGGGCGGCAGAACCTTTGGGCTCTGGCGGTGGTGAAGCACAGTCAGAGGTCGAGGACTCAAAGGACAACCGTGACTGGAGAAGCTTTCGGAGGTCCTCTTCTTCCATGTCGTCGTGACAGCCAGCAAGCTTGCTGAGACAATGATTTTTTTTCAACTTCAAGGTCGCAGCGCCGCGGCCTTCCTAGCTTGGGCAGCTGAAATAGCGATCAAAAGTGTCCATGAATAACAGCAACTTTCACACATAAAAGTATGAGACAGTCATGCTCTTTCAAGAATGGGTACAGCAGTAGCAACCGAGCAGGCTTTGGCCATGTCATATACCATGGCCCGCACTGCAAGCTCCTGAAAATTTCAAAGCAGGGAACAGTACACCATCAACACTTGGATCCTTTCCGCGCACAACTCATTTTTAAAAAGATAAATACTTTGAGACTTGGCACGCGAGGCATCTCCCACCGAACCCACTTCCTTCTCACAATGGTAAGCATTTTCTTCATGCTCTTCACTGTTTTTGCTACACTGCTCGATAGCCTGGCTTTGACGATCTCGGGTTGCTTGGCTGTGACCATGTTGGATTGATCATCTTCTCTTTCCATGCTCGTCTGTCGACGGTAAAATTCCCAAACAGCGTCACGCAACAATGTGGATTTTGTGCATAGGAGACCATGTTTGGCCATGGTACGTGTCAGAGGCCTAATAATCTCAGCGTTCAGGGCGATGTTTGCCAAACTTGCCGGAACAATCTTGCGGCCCTTGGAGTCTTGGACTAGCTGCAAGTTGCTTCTGGCACGCCGGCGAAGACCCGGAAACGCATCCCACACATCCACATAACTGAGGAAATTGAAAGGCGGAGACATGCTACGTTTCTAAAAACGGCCTGACTCGCTCTTGAACCCCAACTGCGAGTGTACGTAGCTGCCCTTGCAAGCAACTAGATGGAGCCATTCATGAAACAAATCAATCATATGTGACTTGACAAAGACTGTGCTATACCAAATATTCTTTGGGGATGGATGTAAGTAATTCACATTACGGAAGCTACCAGGCGCCCGTTTACCAAAGAAACCCGAACCCAAAGCTTCACAGAGTTACCATCCACACACCTGTTTCTGGCAGGGGTTGCTGGCGCACCTCGTTCTGACTGCAAGAAGCATCGCGGGCGAAGCCTTCTTCCTGGCCAAATGAAGATTGCATGGGAAAATCTAAAAAGAATGTCGAATGCATTGCATATAAGGCATGCCAGGCGTGCATGCTGGGGGATCTTCAGCTTCAGGAGGAAGTGGTCCACACATGGATGCATCAGGCAAGAGAACCCTGCTTCAAGCAACATTCGGATAATTTGCTGCACATCTTGAATCTTGCGGTTATGTTATGCATTTAGGGCATCCATATGCTCAAGTTATATGTCATCCGATCTCTTTTCAAAGAACATATACCTTGGAAGCGGCAATTCCTGCTCTGAGCCGGAGAAGCTTACTTGAAGTCCCCAGTAAACCCTCCCATTGTGCTTCATCACGAACGCCGACAGGCCTGGAGTGAGGGCAGGCTAAGGATGCTTAGGGTAAACCCTGAATGAAAAGGTATTGGGATACATCCTAAAGGTGCCCACCTGAGGAATGCTAGGCCAGAAATGGTCGTTTGCCAAATCCGGGCGCAACCCGAAAATTTCTAGTCGTACGGCTCCCCAGGTAGTCCCTAAACCCTAAACCCTAAAACCCTAAGACCCTAAACCGCGTACACCCTTGAGCTTGCTTCCGTGTATTTCAGAGAGTTCGCTGCTGGCTCGATTCAGGGCTCAGAGACCCCCAAGCCCTAAATCTCGAAATCCTTGAATCATAAGGTTTCGGGGTTTAGGGTTTAGGGGTTTAGGGGCCCTAATCCCTAATTCCTCTACACCCTGAATCCCTAAACCCTGAACCCCAAAACACCCACCGCGGGGTTATGAATGTGCTCGGTAAACACTTTGCATTAAACTAGGGGTACAGAATAGGGTTATTAAGGGAACACAAATTCTTGTCTGATTTCATTGAAGGTTCCCTGAAAGCATACGCCGAATCTGTAGTCCCCTTAGACCTATAACAAACATAGTAGGTTAAACTATAATAAGAACAATAATGAAAATTAATTCCTAAGGAGACTACAGTACCTAAACCCCAAGAGTATGTAAAACAATAGCCCTCAACCCCTAAAAGCAGCCACAAGAGCTATAATTCTACATGCTTTAGGGGTCCAGGTGCTACAGAGAACCATGATTCAGCCGTAGGTCTGACATTCTAAGACTCCAACAGCCTTACAACTCCATCCCTGGGCAAGCCCTCAAGACGAGTGCTATCATCAAACCCTGAACCCTAGGAATTGAAGGCTCTAGACCTCCTTAAGCCCGACCCTTTTCCCGAAACCCCAACCCCTTAACCCTGACGCCCGAAACGGGTTTAGGGTTTAGGGCCCGAAACGCCCTAGAACCTAACTGCTGCAACCCACACGCTGACGTGTACCTACCTGGTGCTTCGTTGGGAACCAGGAAGTGGTTCCCGCTAGGAGTCCCTTTAGATTTCCCCATCGTAGTTCCGATATCCGGTGCCCCGATGCCCACCAAGAGCCAACGAAAAGCCTATACCTCTACGCAAAAGGACCCCCCGAAACCTAGGACTAAAAAGAACACCCCTTTGTGAACATAGCTTAGTTTCTGCAGAACTTAAGACCCCAAACAGGCATGAAGGGTTTACTCAAAACCCCGGATGCTCTACTTGCTGAAACCCTAAACCCTAAACCCTAAACCCCTGATGCTCTACTTGCTGAGCGGCTCGAGTGTAAGCACCCTGGTGTCGGTCTCCAGCTCCTGCGGAGATTTACTGACAAAGCAGAAGGTTTTTTTGGTACCCTCAGGATATGGGGGGGGGCTATCAAAAGGCCATATGAGCTATAGTCTAAACTCCTTAAAGGGGTTATAGAGGGGATTATCTAGGGATTTTCTTTTCCGGACTACTGAGGGGGATGCTAGGAGTTTAGACCCCTAAACCCTAAACCCTAGACCCCTAAACCCTAAACCATGGCTCATCTTGGCCTAAGCAATTTGGATGTGCCTGGGCTTGAGTGCTCAGGGCTTGGTGGTGGCGGCCT